GCTGTCAGCGATTCCCACTCCCTCTCCTGAGGCAGGCGAGCTGTAAGCAGCGCTGTAGCATCCAACCGGGCGAGCTGTCAGCCGGCTGATGGGACCGGGGAGCCACAGCTCCGCGGCCAGAAACCAGCAGGAGCTCGGACTTGCATGTACTTTCCAATCCAATTGTCTAACCAAGAAAGCCAGCCTTCCCCAGCGCAACTGTGAGATGGGCCAAAATGAGAACTGTAAATCCCAGCTCTCAGATCTAAAAATCTCCCCGCGGTGTTTTGTCTCTGGTTCCAAAGAAAGCAGGGTCTCAAGGGTTCAGGATAATCCAGAGGGTGGTTCATGAAACTGGTCGATACGGAGAATTTTCTACTAAATAGAGGTGATACCTGATGGGAAGTGCTGGCCAGTTTTCAGAGCTGTCTGATCTGAATGAAAACCTTTACCCCAAATGGCAGTCCAAACCTAAAAAGCCCTTCAAAGACCTCAAACTGATGGGATTTTATGAAAAATGAAATACAGGCCACAGAGTGAAAGAATTGAGTTTTAAGCCAAATTTCTTTCTCTGCAAGGAATTTAGCATAGAAAAGGCTTTGAATGAAATATTCTGATGGAATAAAAAAAAAATATTTCTTACGGGGAAATTTCAAATAAATGTAAATTACTACTACTCCATTTTCAAATAAACATTTCAAAATGGACAAAGACCTTTGTTTGGTTAGAAGTGCAATTCCTGGGGCTGCTCCCAGGTTGACATCTGTAAACTCACATCACCCTTTATACCTGCATCTACACACAGAACAATTGCAGGTAAGTTGTATTTCTTTGACTGGAAACTATCTGCACAAAAGCAATGACCCATAAATTAGATGCCTAGGGAAGGAATACTGAATACTGCTACGCTCCCTTAGTGATGACAGGTATTAGTGGCACATAATTTGGCCAGACACGCTAGAAAAAAATCCAAAACAAGCATACTAAACTGTGCAAAGCATCTCCATGGGTACATCTCTAGCCTTCTCCTGCCACCAGAATGAAGAGCTAAGGATGTAATGAGAAAGCGTGCAAAGGAAAAAAAAAAAAAAGCCAGCAGATTTCAGCACCTGGCTGTTTTACAGCAAAGTGGTTCGCAGGAAGCCCATACCCCAGAATAACTCCCTTTTCTCATGGTTTACTGTTTGTAGCGAGACAAAACAGACATTCATTAAACTCAAGTGAGGCTTTCCTATCTCCTGAAAACAATCACTAAAAATTCATAGGGGTGCTGCTTGCCTTTCAGCCGCAGGTTTTGTTCGAAGGCACTTCCCGATGTTCGTGGGAGCTCGCTCTGCCAGTGAAGCCCACCAGGCACCCTGGAGCGTACTAAAGCTGCGGCATCGCTTACCAGCCCCGTACGGAAGGACAGGGAACACCACGGGCCAGCCAGCACAGGAGGTAATTACAGATACTGGGATCTGACCAAAGCACTGCAAGATGAAGTATTCTCATTAAAAAGTACCGCAGGATCTTTAATGCCCACAAGTGGTCCGGAGCTGGTTTTCCATCCCATCCAATTTGTCTAGTTTAGCTGTTTGATATGATCACACACCTCACAACCTTTAGGGCATTAATTTTCTCCAGCACTACTTTGAGCAAGCAAAATATTTCCTGCCCTTTGCAGGAGAGAAAATGAGGTACGGAGGCACACCAGAAGTTTCTGGTAGAGGAAAGAACTGAACCCCGCTGTCTCCCAACCCACTCATCCCTGGGCCACCCTTCTCCATCCCCCAAGGCGCCATCAGCACCCATCAGGCCTGTAATCCAAGGGCACTGGTTCCTATACATGAGACTCGGACAGGCTCTGCATTTTTATCCTATTTATATTTTCATTCTGCAGGGCCAGGCTGTGCTGTGGACAAGCCAGCAGAACTGGAGGGCATATTTCTACAGCACATTATTCAGTGCCTTCCCGTTGGTCTGCACATGTAGCTATGTGAATGAGCGAAGGTTGCAAAATGTATTTTGCCGGGGGCAGTGAAATAGCTGGGGCCAACCCTGTCATTCTGTTTCACTCACTCTTTTCCTACCCTATCTCTGTCTCGGTTTTTCCTTTTGTTTCTGTCTTTGTTGTCTTGGTTACATGGGCAGATTCCTGATATGCTGCTAGTTTTCATTTTTAATGATATGTTCCTGTAAAGCACAATATTTTACTTCAGTCGTGTGTGCCACCGGATAAATTCCTTTGACATATGTGACATTTGTATATCAACTAACAGATAGTGCTTTATGACTGTGGGTATTTTGCAGAGTATTCACGGATTGCATACACCAAAATCTGATATACAGTCTGCCACTTTCATATAAAAATACACACACGGAGAAAAAAACTGAAACTACAGGAAAAATAAGTTTCTCCAAAACCATCTTGTAATTACTTGCAGCGAGTTGTCCAACAACTGAGTAGATCCTGCTATCTTGAAGATAATCTCCTAATTCCTCTCTTCATGCTATCCAAAATACTTCACTGTAGCTTGACCGAGTAGCTGCACCGCACCAGGAGAAACAGCAGTACGTACCATGCATGGTAGGACCCAGCAAGCAGAAAAAAAAGAAAAAAAAGAGAAAAAGACAGCTCCTGGGCTTTGTCCACTGGTACATGGAGTTTCATCTAATCCTACAGAGGTTATTCCAATTTACCCGTAGGCATTTTTTTTTAAACATAAATCAAACTTCATGCTAACATAATGGATTATGGTGGAGTCGTAATACCAATGCAGTGCTTCCTATTCAAAAAGCACCTGACTGATGAGCCAAGATGGAAAACAAAGCTTCAAAAGGCCCACGAAGTCTTGGCAGGGGCCAAGGAATGTCAAGTGAAAATCCTGAGTGCCAACCTGGCCTTGTGTGGCACCCAGAGGGGAAAAGAGGCTGGTGTCCTGAGCTCGGATAAACCTCAGGAGCCTTGGAGGAAGGCAGTGTGTGGAGGAGAGTCAGTGACTGCAGAAGTCACAGCAAGGATGGGGCTGAACCTGCAGGAACTGAAAGTTTCCAGGAGCTTGGATCAACTGGCCCAAAACAACCACACTTGTTCAGGGGAGCCCCATTTTTCTTTGCATTCTGCCTCCCTGGTGGAGACTTATTCAGCCAAGGAAGAGCTCAGCCCGAGACTCCAGCTTTGCTCCGACACACGGACCCAATGCAGTAACTACCACAGGCAGAATATTCAGCACATTAGGAAAAAGGGAATAAAATTAAGCTTTCTCAAATTACATCAGCCAGTTCAGCTCCCTTCTTCTCATTCTTTACCCTATAAGGCTGTCCCCACTCTCTACCACACTCCGTAAGACACCAAAAGCTTTCTCTCCTATTTTCCCCTATTAAAAGGAATCAGATCTTGGATTCTGCAATGTGACCTGTAAAGGCAAAGACAGAGCTGTGTCTGAGTTTGCTTCTCCTGAAGCCAAAAGAAAAAACAAAAGCTTGCGAGTGCAGGGAAGCAGCAGTCATTCTTAACTGCTTAGGTCTTTTGGATATTTACCATTCAGATCTCAGCTACCCCATTTTCCCCCCCCAAGAGACTGACTAGAGAACTAAACAGTTTATTATGATATCACAGATGACAGGGAAGAAAAACCTAATTAGTCAGGGGAGGAGATTATTTTTATTACAACTGTTTAAAAAACAATTTGGCTCCTTTTCCACATGCCTGAATAGACTGTTAAAAAAAAAAAAAAAAATTCTCTTTTCAAAACCATCAGCAGCCTTTCCTCTGTTGAACAAAGCCAGAGACATTTGCCAGCGGGCAGGATCCTGTTCCCCTTGCAGACCTCCCTGAGCATAGGGGCAACGCCATCTGAATTTACAACCTTGATTTTCTTTTTAAGTGAAGAAACAGGTAGAGAAACAAAACCAAAGATTTCAGACCTTCCTCAAGCATCCGTCAACAAACTACTCCCTTCCCCTTGTCTGCTCTCTCCATCCTATACACAAGCCGTAGTGGGTCACCTTTTCACAGCACCTTCCTCTCCCCAACTTGGAAGTTTTTATTTGCAAAAGGAATTCAAAGAGGAATCAACACCCAATGCAACCCCCAAGGCTCTGCCCCACCTGCCTTCCCAGCTTCTCACCCATCTCCATTATTATGGCAAAGCCGCAATCTCCTTGCACATATGATATTTAGCAACACTCCTGGGCTGAGCATTCAGACAAACATTGTCAGACTGGCACACTGGAGTTGCAACAGAGGCAGTGCCCGTCATTAGCATGAGAAGCTCGCTTCTAAAAACTCTTCTTGCCTTGAGAAAACCACAGGTAGATGATTCCCAGCTTCCACCTCTCAAGCCTCTCTACTATTGCCTTACATGGCAAACTACAGAGCTACAGCCATGCAACAGGCATATTTTTAGTGAGAATGCACAGTGAGGAACGTAAATACACTCTTTATTGTATTTGGGTTTATGTGGAGTCAACCATAAACATAATGGTCATTATCGTTCAAGACACAGCTTGCTTTTGATGAAAACGCTCTTCCTTCAGTACAAGTACCCAGCCTGACCTAAACAGAGCAACCGCTAATCCCATGCTGGGCTCGTGGTCAAATCACAGTCCAGTCACATTGCTCTGAAGAAAGATCTCCAGAGCATGAATCCTGTTTCTTAATAAACTTCAGCTGCAGTCAGTTTTTCTCCAGCATGCACAGATACCCTGTGATCAACTACTTAATTAGAGATGGTCTGAACACAAAAAAAATCTGTTGGATGTAAACTGCATGAAGTCCGTCTGTGGCTGGGTCTGTGGTTTGACTTCAGAAACATTCATTTGCTCATGAACAACAATTTGGAAGAAGGATTTTATCCTCTCTCACATCAGCTCTATCCCTCAAGGGTGAAACACAGTTTTTTTGCTAACCTAAACATTTCCTGTCCTCAAAATAGGTGATGCACCTTAGGATAAGGACTGCGCTCACATTCAATGCAACACTGCAAATCTCCACAAGAACATGAAAATCCGAGTTAGAGAACCACATTAGGTCTTACCTTCTTGAGCTTCCCACTCTTGGTGCCCACAAAAGCCAGGGAGTGGTTCTTGTAGACGTAGGCAATCACAGATGTCATTCTGTCTCCATCCTCGGTGAAAATGGGGAGCCCTCGCACCATGGATGATACTCCCAAGGGGGCATTCATATCCAGGCCACAGAAATTGTCATCAATTGTTAACAGCTATAAACAAAAAGAAACAGAGTGTAAAAAAAAATGAAGCCGCCACTTCTTTAGCCATTTGGGAATTATCCATCCAAGCAGGGACACCATTGCATAACATGCCTATAATTTATGCAGGCTGACAAATCAACGATGCTGGCAGGACTGGAGAAATACAGAGGTGGAAAAAATTTGTCCAAAGTTGCATGATGAGTTACAGAGAGAAGGAGAACTGGAAACTTGCTTCTCTTGAATGACAGCCCAGCAGGATACATTATTTTAAGCCTTTTTCCTACTGCTTTACCAGTCAGTTTCACCGGTCAAGACCTAGCAATCAAAGACAAAGTCTGCTGAAAATGTCTTAAACATATCTAGTTCTGTCAAAAAAAAGCATGCACATCATTCCCACGGGATCCAGAATAAGAACCACTGAGCTAAATCTGCACTGGCAAATAAAATAGACCCTGGCCTGCCCTCTGGCCCTGAGACCCAACAGTAAGGCTCACATCTATGAAACCTAAATAACCGCTCCCCTCCCACCTCCAAACGCTGTAGCATCACTCGCACTACACCTTGGAAATCACAGTCCCCCAAGGCACGGCCAGGCATTGTCTGGGAGAGAGCTGCTCAGCCCAGGCCAAAGCTGCGGTAGAAACCATGCTAAGGATTAAACGCGATAGACCATGGCTGCACTCACCCCCCACTCCTGGTGTTAGTTTAATCATATAGTCCTGGGTCCTTCCCTCGCACTGCTTGGCCTGGGCACTTCATCCTCCCAGGTCTCCATTTCTTCCCCATGAAATGGACATTATCCGCATTTATCCATCTTACTGGGGTACTGTAACTCACTGAAGTTCTTTGGAAAGGAGGGAAGGTTTCACAGCTATTATAGGAGCTTTCCAGCACTTGTTGGAGATACCCATGAACTCCTAACCACCAGAGAAAAGGCCCTCTTCGTTAATGCTGCTGCCTAAGCTCTAACACCTATTGCATTTGAACTCAAGAGACTTGTCATCAGACAGATGCTCCACTGGGATCCTTGTGTACAAATGCACATAGCGTCTAGTTATCTCTGAGGGTATTTCTTTGGGCTTCAGGGAGTGACAGAAGCAGAGCAGCAGAACAGTACAGACACCTCTTCTACCTTAAGGTACCATCTGGACAGCAGGTGAGGCCAATACAGGTCCCCAATATGAAGCGCTCCACAGATTAAGTCAAATAAAGGTGAAGCTCCAAATATCACAGTACACAATTGCCAAAGCAGTTAGACTTTATTAACTTCATTAAGACCACTCACGGATTCAAAGTTAAGCATCTGCTTAAGATTTTCTGGACCAAGGCCTAGAAAGGCAGTAATTAATTGTACAGGAAGGTTGCCTAGTTTTCATATACCAGTAATAAAGGATCATGACAATTTTCTTTGTCTGAGCTCGCATCTTCCTAGAAGCATGGCTACAATACGTGCTGCTCCTTACTTGAGTTCACGAGCAGTAAAAGCCTGATAGTTGATTCATTTTATCCTCACCCAGCAATTACAGGGAATAATTACAGATGGTTTTACTGAATGGAAGAATAATGTGTCCTAAATGTATTTATAAACACATAAAAGCTATGAGGAATTCAAACAGCCATTAGTAAGGAAGAGCTAGCCTGAGCTCTGGCCTGCAAGAGTCGTTAATGTTTGTGGACTGCCCTTCTGGAGCTAAAACACCAGCTCAAAGAGCAATTACAGATCAGATCAACAGCCTCCATGAGCAGCAGCCAGGATGTTGCTAGTCTACAATGCCAGAACAAAGTCTAAGATAAATCTGCACCCCAGATCTAAAGGCCAAATTCATCTGAGGTCTAGTACCACCAAGCCGACGACCACACTTCAGAGAAGCAGGACACCCCTGCCGACAGCATGACTTGCGAAAGCTGAGTGTTTCTGTGGATAATGAGAACACCTACAGCTTCATTACACAGGTCAGGATGGGAAAAATGCAGCTTGATTACTCTGGGAGTACAAACGTGTTTGAATTGGCAACACTAGCCAGATCTTTCTGTGAGACACGAGACATTGACTGTCAGAGACGAGCCAACGAGGGGAGCGGCGTGTCGGTCTGACGCAGCGTGACAAGCCTTCTGTTCACCAGTTCACCACCCAACACACCACCTGGTGTGGGATCCACCTCACCTAGCTTTAGCCATGTGAAATCTTAGTAAGTAGCCTACAGCGGTCATCTAAACTACCTCCAGAGTCAACAGAAGAAAGGAGGTAAGTCAGCGAACGAGCCATCCAACCAAACCTGCAATGCACTGGACCACCTTCTGATAGAGCCAGCTGATTGCAAAAGGACTCCAGATGATTCACTCAGCCTAAACATCTAACATTAAGATGTCTCATGCTTTGAGCAGGAGGCTGGACTATATGACCTCTTGAAGTCCCTTCTAACCTGAGTCGTCCTACAGATGTAGGATCCGAAAAGAATGCAGGTCTTGAAGTCAGGCCCAGTTTGACTGGAAACTCTTAAGCTGTCAAATTAACATGATCTGTGTTTCAAGGCTATAATAAAACTGTATATGTGTCTCACTCAAACTGATGGCCTGACAGGCTGAGAGAAGAATCGTTTCAGACTGAAAGCAAGAAATTCCCAAACCTTCTACAAATAGCAGAAAGAGGAGCAAGGGAAGAAAGTCCTGCTTTGCCGTGGTTTTAAAAGAAAACAAGAAATGGGAAGCAGCTTTCACCACTAAGGGCATGAAAAGCTTAATAGTGCCAGCAGACATCTTACCTAGGGTGCAGTGTACGACGCTCCACCTAGACAACAGGAAATTACACCGACAAGCAGCAAAACGACAGCAATCAAGCAGAGCTGGCACGGGCCGGGGCATCCTCCTCGGTGTAACACAGCCAAAACCAACCACTCCAGCTGAAGCACTTGGGAGGCCAGAAAGGACCCGGGCAATCATCTGGTCTGCCTTCCTGCAGAACCCAGGACCTCCAACCTCAGGCAGGAGCTGCCTGTGCTGCTTGGCAGGGAGATACGAGCTACTCCTGTTCGCTCCCCAGGCAGGTCTGAGTCTGCGCGGCTGTGAGCATATAGCACCGAGCCCTCTGTAACACACTTTATCAACAGCCAGGACGTGTTAGCTAGAGTCTATGATTGCTGTAGATGTATATCAGAGCTCACATAGCCAGAGTAAGCTCCCATCCTCCTGCGAAACCCTAAGAGGATATAGACCCAGAGATCCTAGCATCAAGCACAATAACCTGTGGCTGATCTGCAGCACATCTCCAACCTGTTAAGACTTAATTAATCCCATTGCCACAGGTTAGTTCCTCCTCCATCAGACTGGGCCCAGCTCCAGCTGAACTCAGACCTACCCTTAATGGGGCTGATATCACAGGTTTCCCCCTTACAGACACAAAACCAAATTCAAGCTCATTTATTTCATCTTATTTCCCTGAGATTATTTATACAAGACATCCTTATAAGAAGGGCTTGTAAGAAAGATGCCTGTTGCAATAGGTGATGGTTTTAAACTAAAAGAGGGTAGATTCAGACTAGATATAAGGAAGACATTTTTTTATGATGAGGGTGCTGAGGCACTGGCACAGGTTGCCCAGAGAGGTTGTGGCTGCCCCATCCCTGGCAGTGTTCAAGGCCAGGTTGGATGGGGCTTGGAGCAACCTGGTCTGGTGGAAGGTGTCCCTGCCCATGGCAGGGGGGGTGGAACTAGATCATCTTTAAGGTCCCTTCCAACCCAAACCATTCTGCGATCCAAGCACCAGGGCGAGGTTAAAGAGTGAACTCAGCACTTTCTCTTACATGACACAGTTCAGATGAGATCTAGGACCGTCGCATCGCACCCCAGCCTCTGAGACACACAGAGTTGCGTGGGTGCCGGAGGAGCAATTGCAGAGCTGTGGTTTGCAGTGTCGTCCTGGTTTCGGCTGGGATAGAGTTAATTATCACGGGAAGCTGGGAGGGGGCACAGCCAGGACAGCTGACCCCAGTAGCCACGGGGCTATACCATACCCCGTGATGACATAGCTCACTATAGAACTGGGGAGCGGGCGGGGGGGGTGCCCCACACTGGGCACAAAAGGGGAAAAAAAAAAAAAGTTGTGGTTTAAGACCATCCGGCAACAAAGCACCACGGGGCTGCTCATCCTCCCCCCGTGCTTCAGTGGGTATGGGGAGGGGAATCAGAAAAGAGAAAAGAAAAAAAAAAAGGTAGAACACGGTGGGTGGAGATAAGGACAATTTACCGGGACACCACGAGGCGAGAGGTCACAGTAACGGCAGCACTAATAAAAAGACTGTACCCCAGGAGTGATGCACAAGGCAGCCGCTCACCCCCCGGATCCGCTGCCACATCAGCCCGGACGCTCCCCTGGATGCGCTGGGTATGACGTCATACGGCAGGGACTAGCCCCGTGGCTACTGGGGTCAGCTGTCCTGGCTGTGCCCCCTCCCAGCTTCCTCCGATAATTAACTCTCTCCCAGCCAGACCCGGGAGAAAGGCGGGCAGCCGTCCCCCAAGAACAGGCGTAAGGCCAGCAAGCCACACACCACATGAAAACAACTTTCATTTTAACGTTTTTGGGTTATTTCCTCTGGGGATCGTCTGCAAAAAAAAAAAAAAAAAAATGCCAGCAAGTGAAACCCTACGAATAAACATCACCCGGCTTCTGTGCGGCTGTGGCTCTCAGCTGCACACACACCTTTGGAAAGGCAGAAATACAGTCGTCTTCTTCAGCAAAGAGAAACACGTATGGAAGTTTGGATTTATGATGAAAGGGTCAGGAGTTGCAAGTCCAGGTTTATTTTCAATTCTAGACACTCCTAGCAGCAATATAAAGTAGCCACGTTAAACTCTCTGGAGCTTCTCTGCTTGGCAATTTCGCGTTAACGACTTTCCAGAATGAAAGCGGAGGTGAGGACATGAATTCACTCTGCTTGCAAGCGGCTGGGATAGCAGGGAGGGGCAGAGGGAAGATCTAAAGAGGCAGGAATAGGATCGGCGATTCTCGC